ATGAGGCATGGCCATCCACGGGGTTCGCATCCAAACTTCCAAACCTCTCAGAAGCAATTCAGAAGCGCCATCCCCTCTCATCCCCTCTCAAAAAAAGTAAAAAACTTCAGAATCCCAAGCTTTTTGGCCTTTGGATGCCTTACACATCCAACCATTCGCTCTGTCCCAGCTCCTTCATGGAGATCATCCCGTCACAGGGATCGGTGTCGATCTGCCGAAAGATTTCGAAGGGCCTCGACGACGCCGAGACCCCACCGTGACGCGCCGAGTGACCCCCCGTGGGTCGTCGGCCCGGTGGAGCGGTTTGAGTTGATCCGTTCCGGCAGTTTGGAGGGGACGACTCTAGAAACCTCTCTGGGAATCTCTGGGATGGTCGCGTTCAGAAACCGGATGTGAAATGAAGGGGGGGAAGTGCAAGACACTCCGGAGGTCTGGTCGGATTCGGGTCAGACGAAGCCTACAGTGCTTGGGCTTGGGGTGCTTGTGAAAGATTGAAAACAATGTCGAGTTTGCGAGCTGAGCAGTTCCTATCACGGGACCCTCTGACGCTGCACGGGTGGTTGACTCCATAGCAGCTTCATAATAGCGCTGATGGGGTGGGCTAGACATGTTTCAGGTTCAGGTGCATGCCGGGTAGTAAACAAATGCACTGAAGCACTCCAACATGTCGTGCTCCTCCGCGACCCTGATTTCTGAGCTCAAAACGGAGGGACACGTCCTTGCACTTGAACCCCCAAATTCACCCATCTATGCGCACCAATCCCACCAGGCTCTTCCACCAATCCCACCAGGCTCGAGGAGCATCCCGCAGCAGATTCTTCCGAGTGGCTTCCACCCGCAGAGCTTCTCAGAGTCGATGTGGAGCAGAGTGAAGCCAGTGTCCCACACCTCAAGTGTCTCAACCATTTGGGAAAGAAGTACGAGCACAATAGCCTAATCAACGGATGAGGTCTTGGGCGTGAGTATTCCCGATCAAAACCGTGGTATGGTGTTGGACGGAAGCGTCTAGTCAAACACCTGGATGCTTCTCTTGCGGCGGAACAGGGAAAGCCACGTCCAATCCCACCTCCAACAAATCAATCAAACTCTCTCAAACCCCACTAGACCAAACCGAACCCCCTTTCTGCTACTCCCCAGTCCTCCGCTCTCTCAACGCCGTCCAAGGCGCCACCTGAGCGATCTTCCCGATCCGCCGGGTGTCGAACCAGCGGAAGGCGCGCTTCAAGGAGCCCATCTTCTTCACGAAGACCTCGACCGAGCAGGGTCGAACCGGCCGGCGGAGTGGAGGGGTTGGAGTGAAGCTGCTGGGCTTTGGGAAAATCGGTGGAACAAAAGCGCAAGAATTCCAAGGTCGCGCGGATGAAGGATCCTGTTCGTCACAGGGCTTCTTTGGAAAAAGGCAAACCGGGTAAACCGCATGTTCAAATCTGTTCGTCACAGGGCTCCATGGACATCCCTATCAACATGACATGGTCGTAGCATGATTTGAACTGCCACTCAATTGAATTGTCTCAAAAGAATAAGATGGGCCTGTCTCAAACGAAGGAGGCCTCCCCAAGCTTGCCAACCGCCCACCGACCCACTCGAGGCACATAGGCAAGTGCCAGCCGGCCACTGGCGTTCATCTCCCGTATCTCACTGGCCAACTGTTCCTGGCGCTTTTGTCCGTGTCGAGAGGCGGACGAACATGAATGCACCACGGCCTTGTTCCGCTGACCAAACAAAAAACGCGGACGGAAGCAGACAGATCCAAACAGAATGCAAAATCATTCCAATGCGGCGGTTTCTATGCCCGGTGGTCAAAACAGTCCCAAGTCGGGACTCGAGCGAGTTCTGACAGGGGGGGCAAGAGCATCCTCATAGATGGGACAACTACCGTTCCAAAACTCCTTTCTTTTCCATGGTCGCATCAAATCCGCGACCAAGTTCTTGGGAAGCACGGTCACGGCACATCAGGCACGCGACCCTTCAGCACCTCTCGGGTTTTCACTTCAGCACTTTGCAGGGACGTTTTTTGCCTGCCAGTTGATTCTTCCAAAACCTGTGGTGCTTCACCAACCTCTCATCCAAATAGACCAAGCATTTACGTTTCAAAATGACCAGGGGATGACCAGGGGATGCCTTCCTTTGAACCAAATGGAAAAAACACGGCAGAGTCGGAGTGGACAAGCAGCACTCCGACCAAAGCCCCCCGTGGAATCCAAGGTCTCTCTCTCCCTCTCTCTACAAATCATGGTTACGTTGGATGGGTTTTGTGGAATGAACCATGAAATCCGAATACCAAACAGGTGGAGTTCCTCCACTCCCATGATGATTTAGGGAGTGTACGTGATGCTTTTTTGTCTCGCCTGCTCCGCCACTTGTTGAAGCTCTGTCTCGGTGAGCTCCTCACGAGCACGGGAGCTCGCTGGAACCCCACTTCCGTGCCGACACGGAGGTGAACCTCGACTGTGAGGAGTCCAACAGGAACCCCAAGAAGAGTATCGTTTTCAGTGTCTGACTCACCCTTGAGTTCTTGCGGACCGAGCCGCGAGAGTCGAGAAACAAACCGATAAAGAGAAGAACAACAGCCGGTCGCTGAGAAAGAAACCCTGGTGAATGTCTTCCCAACCCCATCCTCATGCCACAGTTGAATCACACACAAATGATGCTCTGTATATAATATAGTATATATACAAAGTGAAGAGGGCGGCGATACAGAGTTCTGGTGTAGTGTGAATAGCAGAGGAGTTCACCCAATGAGCGCTCTGGGTCCCCTCATCCGTTCCAGCGCGTCCCCCTCCTCCGTGTTTGAGAGACCTTCCCAGAAATTTAGCAGGGCTACCCGTCCAATTCAAAAAAAAGTAATACCAATATGACAATATGGGTTTGACTGAAACAATAAGATCCACATTAGAGTCATTAGAGTGTTTGCCCTAATTGCTTGGTTTGGCTGATCCTCGCACCAAAATTGCTCACCAAACCACCTCCATTCACCTCCCTCCATCTGCCACCCATCCACCTTCGTTTTGGGTCCCGCCAGTCCCGGTCCTGCAAGTCGCGCCCGGTCGCCCCATGCTTCAGCACCCGGCGCACGTGGTCCGAGGGGCCCGACGACCTGGGCGAGTCCCTCCGGAGCGGCTCTTTCATTGGGGGGGAGCTTTTTGGTGGCCAAGGCTATGGCATGTTTGGGCTTGGCAGATGCTTGTTAGGGGATCTGTTTTGCCAAAGAAAATGAATCGTGTTCCAAAAAAATAATTCCTAATGCCTTGTTCGCGGGTGACCGCTGGGTGACCGCTGGGTGACCGCTGGTGTCATTTACTGCAGAAAAGCTCCCACTTCCCAGTAGACATCCAGCCTGGTGAGGTCGGGCGCGTCCTCCGCAGCATCGTCGTCGTCATCGTCGCCTGGCGATGACCGGGGGAGATTCTCTGAGTGGGGTCAAGGCTTCATCTCCACCCAGTGGGCCGGTTTGGGCTCCACTAGGCAGGTTGACTGAAGAAGGTTTCAAGTTCCAAGCTAAAATCCTTGCAGAATCCTTCCGAATTGACTGAACCTCCCCAGGATGGCCCCACTGGGGTCGTTTTAGGTTTGAGGTCCTGCCAGATATTGCCAAAAGACGTTTCTCAGAGGCAAAGAGAAAGCTCTTCCCAGATCCATCTGCAATTTCACCTCAAACTGCGATGGACATAAATCACTGGTTTCCCAGTACCAAGCAAACAAATCTTGCAGAGGTCCGGTCGATCGTGCTTCACTGCGGATGGCTAAACCCTTCAGAATCAGGGAACCTGATTGCTATCGCAAATCACATGGTCGCTACCTCCACTGGTTTCGGGCTCTAAACTCTTTTTGACCTGCACCTCGTTAGGCCTGGCCAAACTCGGAATCTTTGAGCCACTCACACCAGCACAGGCCCCAATATTTGTGGGCTGCGCACAAAAAGACTAGACTTTGCCACCACACCATCCAAAGGACTACAAGTAGCTGGTACCAGTATTTGAATAATAAAGTAAAGGCCAAAAAAAAATAAAGTAGCACAACAGGCCCTATGCATCTTCCCCGAAAAAAGACATTGTTTCCTTTCCGCCTCTTTCAGCCTCTTCAGGGCCTCTTCCGGTCGCCCAGAACGACGGGCCTAAGATCTGCTTTTGCCACTCTGCAAAGGATCGTTTTGGCCGCACCTCTCGTGCGAGAGTAGGGGCGAGGGTCAAGACGGCCAACTCTGGTTTGACGAGCAAAAGAAACCCTTGGGATTGAAGAATTAAAGAAATGGGAACGATGTCCAAAGACGTCTGTTCTGACTTGGCAACTGCCCCGGCCCCCGGTTGGCTTGGAGGGCTTTAACTGCATGGAACCAAGTTTAGGAATTGAGTTTCACTTCGAAGGAACCTCTGATCCTATTCACGGTCCCCCATTGCAAGGCTACCCTGAGTCTTGATACAAGAATATCCATTGTAGTTCCTGCTTCATGCCTGCTGAAATCCCAAAGAGCTACGTATACCTTAGCTTCTGGGACACCTTTTTGAACCGTTTCGGGTGACACGCTTCGAAAAGAATTCTTTTCTCTCCACAGTTCCTCCCGACGTCTCTCTCCACCCACCTGCTCCTCCAATCCCTCCCCGTCCGAGGACTCGGAGGACGAAGAGGACGAAGAGGACGACGACTCCTTCACAGCCGCACCGCGCCGCCACGCCCGAGGTTGTTCGGTCCACGTCCCGACTTGCGCCACGTCGAAGCGCTCCCCAAGAGTGTTGATCCCCACACCTTTGGTATTTGTCACACTTGGTGAAGCACCCACAACAATGCGCATCAGGTCATGTTGAAGAGACTTCACCCAAATCCGTAAAAAAGAAAGCAAATCTGGTGCCGACCAGTGAAACTGGCCTGCCCTTGGATGATCTGATGAGCTGTGCATGTTCCAAAATCACAACCCATCAGACCTGGTCGACTTGATACTCGACCTGGGACGTCCCCACCCATCCTCCTAACCTGTCTGTCCCCGCAGCGCACCGATTTTGGCCCCTCACCACTCGAAGTGCTGTGAGATGGCGTGGCCCTTCTTCCGAGCATGGCGCCGCAGGTCTTCACTGCACGTGAAGTCGCTCTTTCCACAGCTAGCGCAGCGGTAGCACCCAGGGTGCTCTTGCCGCTCCTTGGAAAGATTACACAAAAGGCCCAAACTAACCCAGCTGGTGGGCTGGTGGGTGTCTTGGGTGTCTTTGTCTGCCTGGGCCTACTGGTCGGCTGTATAATTTATGAATGATGAGCACCTCCCACGAAAGCGACCATCATCAACGGGAAGGGGGGGCTGGAAATGTGTTTGGAGATGGAGATCAGGCCAAAGATCCACTCATTAAATGCACTCCACTTTCCAAAAAGGAAACATGATTTCGAAAGTGCCAGAGAAAAGGCTTCTATCATCTTCTATCTGCCCGGGCACATGTTCACGCAGCTTCAGCACCACTGCCTGGCAAATGGGGCATGGCCAGTTGGCCGGCGCCCGGGAGCTGCTGCCCGCTGCCACCACGAACGTCGGACCCTCCACGTTGCCCAAAGCCCGCAACGGCCTTCGTTGCGGCGCCGCGGCGCTGCGTGCTGGCGCAGTGCGGGGCACCGGCCGCGCCGTGTGCTGCGCGGAGGACACCTCCGCCGGGTCCGGCCGTTCGGGCGCGGCGTCTGAGTCGCTGCTCTCTGCTGGAGGCCAGGTGTCGGCCGGGCGAAACCTCGGAGAACGTGGAGGGTGTTGGCCAAACGAAAAAAGGGCCACCTTACAAGCTACAGTACTTAGAATGTGAACGATCCTTTAGACGGAAGGGACGTGGAAGGAAACAGCTTGGGATGGCCACGTTCTAATCAGGCGATACTCAACTTTGGGATCGCTGCCATGCCACATCTGCGGGATCGCGTGTTGCTGCTTCCGCGAGTGCCGCCGTAGATCCTCGCTACACTCGAAGCGCTTCCCGCAGGAGCAGGCAAAGCAGGAGGCGTGCCGACTCGCCTTGATCCATCCCACCCCGCTTGGTCCACCCGTGATCCACCTGAAGCTCCATTTTGGCCGTCCTTCCCCTGAAACAACAACCACATGAGGTTGGGAGTGGCCAAAAGAAAAGGAACCATAGGCATCCATAGGCATCCATAGGCATCCATAGCTTGGTTGGATCTTGATGACTGGATTGTCTTTTTGGACTAAATTTGAGACTTGCACGTGACCACTCAGCTGTGGGGTGGGACTCCACTGAGGAGACGGTCTCTCCGTCCAAGACCGGCCTCGTGTTGCTTCAACTTCTCAGAAACCAACTTGCCACAAACGGCACACCAGGGCTTCCTGAGCCAAGTCAAGCATGAGAATGAAAAAGATTGGGTGTGTTTTCATGTGTTTTCATACAATAGGGGAAAATGGTGCAGATTGAAGAGCAGCATGGATCGGGAGAACGGCAAAGAGAGCCATTGAGAAGGACAAGTGGGCTGAAAAACCGGTGGTTGGGGGATCTCCCTACTCCAATAATGCATAGCTCTATTACACCTCGTGCCCCTTTCTCGTAGGGTGTGTTTCTATCAGGCACTCTGCTTAACCTCGAAAGAGGACCGGTCTGGTGGGCGGCATCCCATGCTTTTGAGGTTCACACAAAACAATAAGTTAGAAACAACGCCAAAAACTCTCATGGCCTCTCGCAACCAAAAACGATCAAAAAGGTATAGCCTAGCAGCATGGCAATTTCGTCGCACGCGCTTCACGCTTCTCCAGTTTTGCTATGTCCAGTATGGGGGGCACAGGAAACGCATCCTATAGAAACAGCCGTTAAGCTGCAACTCCTGTTTTGGGCCGCGAGCTGCGAAAGGTAGATCTGCGTGACATCCTACTATGTGCAAGGTACAAAGTGTACATATTACATGGAGTGAAAATACACCCCCCTCAGCTAAGGTAGCTTTGCTCCCGAAGCTGGACGCGGAAAGTGCACGAGGGCTTGTGCAGGGCGCGACAGTGATGTCGGCTCAAAGCTGCATGGCAGTTGTGGATGCTAGCAATCCACTGCCTTCGTGGCCCTGTACGTGCATTTTAATTATTCACTCCCCGCCGCCAAAAGAAATTGAAAGTTTGGACTTGGGAGGAAAACCGCATACATATTGACAATGGATGTCATGCAATGAATTATGCTCGCTCAGGCAAAAAGGTTGAGACTTGGCTCAACTAACGCCAATGCCACTGGCTCCGACTCGAGCTCCAGTCCCACGAACGGCGGTCCCACTGCCGCTGCTCGCCCCACTCGCTCCAGTTCCATGAGCTCCATCCCCACGAGGACGATGCTGATCCGGATGCACGTGGGCTCACCGGTGAAGGTGGCGGACCTCCCTTTGCCTTTGAAGCTGGAGTTCCATCACCTCCGGTAGAGGACTTGCGCTTGCCCTTGCTCTGCTGCTGGCGCTGCTCTTGAGTCTGCTTGTTGACCACATCACGCCTGGCAGCGGAGAGGTTGTCGTGGCATAGCTGGCGAAGCTCCTCCATTGCGCAGTATTGACTCATCTGATGCACACCGTCCCAAGCCAAAAGGCCACGATGGGAGTCGGGTGAGTTGATGTACTCGATGTACTCACGCAAGGAGAGGATGTTTGTGCGATAGATCACGCACCATTGCTCAGGAATGTAATCCATGGCTTGTGGATAGCGATCGGGCGCTACGTCGATGTAGGCCAGCCGTGCCAGAGAATGATCTTCGTCATATCCAAGGCCCAGGCTGACTTGCGCTTTGTTGCGCGGCGGGTTCGCCAAATGAGCATGGCAAAGCCAATCCTGCCGCTGCGCTGCCCGATGGTCATAGCCCATTTGTAGCGTTCGTTCCATGAACTGGACGTCATGCTCGAAGCGATCCTCGATGCTCTGGAAGCCGCACTTGTCTGCACGCTTCATCCGGCTGCGAGCGTCTTGGATCATGATCGCTTCTGGGCTCATGTTTCCACGGCCGCTTGCAGACACCACACGCAGGTTGAGGCCAGCCTTGATGTAGTCACTGACTGGGCACTCAGTGCGAGCGAGGCCGGCCCTCGCAAGCTGCTGCTTTCGGAGAACTGAGCGTCTGGTGACCGCTTCCTCCGGCAGCTCGGTGTTGGTGGCAAGTTCGGCTGAACAAATGTCACAGTGGGTCATGCCCCTGAGGACTAGACCCTTGCACTGGCTGCATTCGACCTGGATCACCGTCAGCTTGCGTCCCTTTCGAAGTGTCGGGGCGGTGATCGGCGCATCAAAGCCAGGTGGGGGCCCCGCAGGCTCAGGCGGAGCGTACCCGCTGTAAGATGCTGCAGGTTGATCTTGCTCTGCCTCATTCACGATGGAAGTAGGTGGAGTCGAAGGTGCAGCCTTGCTTGCAGGTGCCGATTTGCTGGTTGCAGTCAGGGAAACAGGCATTGCTTTTGCGGTTGGCCGGGGCTCGCCAGTGATGGCGGCCCGGCTCTCACCTCCATCCGCTGGAGCAGCCTCGGGTAGGCCAACGGCACTTACCCTGGTCCAGAGTGTGGACTGGCTTTCGGTGTTTTCGACGGAGACAATGTATTCTGGAGGTACCGTGTCAACCGTCATGATCCCACCGGAGCGGTTCTGGAAAAAGATGAGACCGCCATCGACTGCTTCCCGAAGTGCAACGGTAAGCTGAATGGGGTGCTTGCCGCGGAGACCGCTTTGATAGTCGGTCTCCGTAATGCGACTTGCAGCCAGGTAGACATGGGCTCGATCGCTGCCAACAAACTCGCCCCCGCCTGGGATAAGGCCCTCCTTGACGATCCGCTTCCAGCACGCTGGCCTCGTGCGGTGGTAGGCCAAGACAGGGATCTCATCCGCTTTGGCGATGGGCTTCCCAATGAAGGGAGCTTTGGCTTCTGGCCTGAGCGCAGGACTGCAGTACATCAGGGCTGCCGATCTGTAGTTGTCCTGTGCGCTCTTGATCGCGTGCTTGCTTTGGCCAGCAGCGGCGCGCATCTTCAGAGGCCATAGTGCCACGCCCTTCTCCTCGAGTTTGTGCCCTTCTCGAATGCCCAAAAACTCAAATCGGTTTTTCTTGTCCTTTGCTGCTATGGCGATCAAGTCTTTGACAGTGAGCGGCGGGGCACTGCGGTGATTCAGGCCGAAACGCCTGGCTACTTCGTCCAAGTCTGCGTAGCCATCTTCGTCAACCTCAAGGCCCAGGTATTGGTCATGTTGTCGAACAACTTTGGATAACTGGGTGAGCCAATCCTTGAGGGGTTTCGCGAAGAAAAGGTGCCCGCCATTGAGCTCCCATCCGCTCGCAAAGTGGAGCGGCAATTGCTTGTCGCCAAGCTGAACCACTTGCTGGAAGGCGCCATCGACCTCGGCCATCTTGTACGTGTACTCGTGGTATTGGTCTGCAAGATACTGAGGGCACACAACGTGGCCTTCATCAGCATCAGCCGCCGGCGGCGATGAGGGTGCCTCAGGCTCGGGCTCGCCAGTGATGGCGGCCGAGCCTTCTTCGCCATGAGGTGCGCTTTCTTCTTCATGTTCTTCTGGCACAACCTCCTCATATGGCGATGCCTCCTCATCATCAATGGCATCGATGTCGAGCCATGCCGCTGGGTTCTCACCAGTTTCGACGCGATGGCTGAGTTCCTCAAGCGTCTGGAGCCGACCCTCATAGGTTTCTCGGCTGATGTCCAGCTCTGCAGCAATCTTCTCCTGCTCTTCCTCCATGACATCAAGGCGTTGCTGGAGGATCTTTTCTGCCGTGGCGTCATTTGCGACGAAAATCTCCGAAAGGTCTGGATCGTCTTCCTCCCCTTCGGGCTCATCATCGATGACGGCCATGTCTGCCTCGGTAATCGGCGCAGCACGGTTTGGCTGCTCCGCAGCGACGTCCTTCTTGGTAAGGGCGCGAGCGGTGAGCTCGGCTGCGGCGATTGCCCTTTTGTGGCGGACATCGGCAAGGTTTCGGAGTAGCTCTTCGTATCGCTGATGTGGAGGGAGGCGATCATCACGAAGCTCAAGCCCACCGAGCGGACGGTTCATCGGGCTGGTGGCAGCTACTTCCAATGCGATATCTCCGAGAACGTAGAGTCTCATAAGCAGGTGGAATACACTCTGACAAAAGGAGAACATATGATTTGCATTCTCGTCCGATTTTTCGCAATGCCATTGGTCACGCAAGTCCATGCGGATGTTGAGGACGTTGATGTTGACTAGGCGGAAGCGACACTTGCCGATCTGAGAACCATACACCTCATCTTGGAACCACTGACTCAGCCGGTTGTACCAGTCGCTGTAGGGTCCCTGCCGCGTGAAGTTGTAGGTCTCAGGATCGGGCGCGCTGATGAGAGCGGCCGAGTGCACACCGTATCGGAACATATCGGCGGCAAACCCGACCAGCTCTTCTTGCACCTTCTCCTGTAGCTCCATGTAGTGATCGCCGTCAGGATGATCGAAGGGCCATGAAGTCTGGGCTTCAATTCCTTTCTTGCCAATGAGCTCGTTGCCAGCCCATACCACGCCAACCAGCAGCATGCAGCCTGGGAACTGGCGCTTGAGGCTCCTCACGGCAATACGGGCTCGTTTCAGCAACAATGGCAACTCTGCACACCAGAGGCATTCGTGATGAAAATGCTTGCAGTAAGTTGGACGATAGGCCTGAAAGTGATCGGCCAGATCGAACCTCTGGGGTTTGCGTTTCGAACCGCTAACCAAGCACAAGGTGGAATCAGAGATCAAGATATGTACCGTTTGGTAGTCTTGGCTCGTGGGCACACCTGTGAAGGCGGCTAGATCATACCGTGAGGTCCGAATCAACGGGCCCAACTCCGGCTCTAGCCATCGGTTCTTCTCGACCAGGCCCGCCAGCACGGAATGTGCTGTGTGCTGGCCAAGGACGCCATTCAGCACCGCGTCCACGTCCTCAGAATATCCGTCTTCGAGGTAGTAGCCAGAGGCCACAATCTGCCGAAAGTGCGACTCGAAGATGTCCAAGGTTTCCCTGCGCATGTCTTGGTCAGCCGACATGGTGTGATCAACGATGATCGCTGGCAGGGCGCGCTGCGCGACGGCGGCAGAATGACTTGAGCTGCTATGCTTGAAGCAGCGGTGAACAAGATCAGTGTACTCAAACGTGTAACCTTCAGCACTCTTCAATGACTTGCCTCTACTTTGCCCATGAGTGTGATCATGTGTACACATGTATTGCTCAAGACATGCAAGCTCATGAAGATTTGTGCATATGTGCCAACTCTTACGCATAAGATTACCGTGATTATCGCGCACACCAAACATGCATCCATCGAAGTTGTATCCTTGCAAGTTGTGGCGTTTGATGAAAGCTAACACCGACGGCC